CATTACAAATTACATATCTCTTAATATTTTACATATCTCTTATATTCAATCATTTAAAAAAATATTACATCAAACCTTATTTATAAATAATATAAAAAAAAAATTAATATTTTTTGTTCAAATAAACATCCTGTCTCTTATATACGATTATGTGTTTGTATTACAATTAATTTAATTTAAAATCGACTACATGCTATGCATAATAAGATTTTTAAAATTTTGGTTCAATATAAAAAATATTGTGATGGCAAGTAACTATAAAGACTTAATTATATTGCAAAACAAAAAAGGCTAAGAAATAAAAATATCTTTATATTTTTGTTTATTTTTTGGAATTTTGGTTCCAAAATTTTTTAGAACAGCTACTGTTATTGTACGATATTTACCCGGACCTAGTGAATCATATGAATATACGAGTATTTATATGGAAATATACGTATATGCATACAGGCATATTATATAATTAATAGAGGGAGAACGATTCTTCTACATAATTCTGAAATTTTTATTTTGATAATTTCATTTTCCAATCACGGAAAAGCTATTCGTCACATCATAAAAATAATTTTAAAAGTGAATAAGTATTTCTTTTTTTTTTGTTTCTTATAAAACGGATACGTTTTTATAACTTATATTATATAGAATCTACACATATGTATGTATAGCTTCATTTGTTGGGTTTGATACATAGATGCACATAATAATAAGACTATTCAAGGAGTTTTATATGTATATATGTATAAAATTTAAATAAAAATAGTGGGACTGACATTGGAAAAATAAGGACAAAATAACAATTAGTATTTCAATTTTTATTACTTTCTGTTTTCATATTCAAAATATTTTTTTTCCGTTCTTCTTTTCAAAATTTTGAAGTAATTTCTTGGCGGCTCCATTCTATATTTGCTTATATTAAATTTTAGTATAAAATGTTTTGAAACTTATTAAGTCCGATTTTTTGTTTAAAATTTTTTAAATCTTTGGCTAAATGTGATCTAAACCAACTACACTATAGTACCGCTATCGGTCCCCTGAACGAACTTGCGCAGATTTAACTTAAGGTCATAGTTTCCTAAAAGCTTATTGCAATGTCGCAATACTGGATTAGTTCTCCACAGTTCTGACCTCCCTTAATCAATTTCTTTTTGTGCTTCTCTCAATTCATCTATCACGCGGTCTATTCTCCAAAAGGTCTTCACTAATACTTTAACCAATTAATTGCCCTTTATTTCAAAGTGCCTTGATACCTAAAAGAGATTTATCATGTTTTTCCTGTTCAGTTCATTTATTCTTACAAGATAGCAACGTGCTCTACAATTTTGCGGAAGCGGCCGAGCATGAGCTCAGAGCTGTTATACAAGCCCGAGTATTTGCAAAATAATTTACAAAACTTTAAATAATGCATCTAAAAAATAGCTTACATAATTCATACATGCTTATATGAATTTTATATGTTTAGGTATTTTATAATTTGCTGATGATTAGATTTCCAATTTCAAGCACTTACCGTTATGTTTACATTTATGGGCTTCTAGTTTAAATGACCCGATTTAATATTTCTCATACATTATACTCAAAAATTTTACATAATAATTATTCTTTCATGATCTCGAATATTCGATTAATAAAATTAGAGTAAATAAAATTTTTCATAATAAATTTCGAGTAAATTTTTTCTTTATAATAAATATTCAATTCTTTGTATAATTTGAAACAGTTTTGAAACTTCAATTGTATTTAGACTAACAAAATCATTCAATTGTCCAAATCAATTTTTTTTTGTTTACATTTTATTTTGAAACTGAACATGAACTTGATCAATTCTTTATTAAAATTACAGTACATAACATTGTATACCATTATTATAACTGTTATACGTATATAAACTATATAAAATACATAGAGAATTGACAATATTTATTTTGATCGCGTATACAAAACAAAATATACTTTATAGTATATTGCCTTATTTAAAATGCCGTCAAAACAATTTTTGTTTTTGTGTCATGTTGTATATTTCGTAATTTCAATTACCGGAAAAGTCTATGCTATTCAATAAAAACCAAAAAAAAAAGTGCAACTAATTTAAAAATGAAAAAAAATTAAATAAAATTTTTAATTTTTTAAAAGTTAATAGCGCATGAAATTCATTTCCATTCTTGTTATTTACTACTATATGGCACCTCTGTACCGCAGTCACAGTTATAAAATTTTTGACATCTGAATAAATAATTTGTCGCATGCATTTCAACAATACGTCAGTATATGGAAAAACAGTTCAATTCATAATATTAAATTTACTCTTCTACGAATTAATTTTCAACGTACCTAAATTTTTTACAAAAATTTATTTAAATTTTAAATAAAATAAGGAAAAAAATAATAATAAAACAAAATTTAATTTCGTCTCAAAAAGGTAAAACCTATACTGAACTAATCACGTAATGGAATTCCACTGATCAACAATATAATCAAATATTTTGAATTTCGAATACTAAAAATAGGATTTAAAAATAAAAAGCAAGGCAATACGAAAATGGAAAAAAATTAAGAACTTTGAAACTAGTCTTTATCAAAAATGTTGTCTGCTACAATTAACACTTTTTTAATATTAAAAATATGTTGTCATAATTGTGAAGATTACATGGGTATTAAAATTTTTATTACTCATTCATAAGGTTACATGTATATTTTTTAACGGTTATCTTTTCAAGCAATGTGATTTGATTTATTCCTCCCGTGGGTTTGCATTCATGAAATCAAAAGAAAAAGTGCCAACATGCGAAGAATAAGAACAGAACTTTGATAAGAATTTTATGTAGAGGAGGAAGACGATGAATACCGTTCTTGTAAGCCTATATGATTAGGAGTGGAAGGTTTTAGTCAATAGAGAATTTATAAATTTTGATGCTCTAGTTCAATGGCACTGAAACATTACAATTGAATTATCTGGAATTGATATCAAAGTAAACCGAAAAGCAACCATGAAAACAACTGCCAAAGTAACATTAATTTATGTATATACATTTGAAAGGAGCAGCAAAAGTTGATAGAAAGGAACTAAGATATTACAATCAGAATAATATGAAAGGTCGCACAATTTGCATATAAAAGTAGTAGAAAAAAATAGATGCTTGTAAAGTGAAAAAATATCGCTTTAGTGACATCATTGGGATTGCAATATACTCGCACATATTATTATTACAGAAAGCTAGTGACATTCCAAAGGCGGCAACTTAAAGTATGAATTTCCAAGACATCACATCGGAAAGAAAAACATCTTTCGGCAGAACAGAGGTGAGTATATTTATAAAATGTGTAAATTTGAGGTAAACATAGGTGTTCATTTAGAAAGGAATTATCCTATAATTCTCTTGAATAAGTTAAAATTTTCTTTTGCAATATTTTGATTTAAAATTTGTTTTTTTTTTCATATACCTATTTAATTTTACACCTGATTAAAAAAAAGAAGGCATGTTCTATATTAATATATAGAATTTAATGAATTAAATTTATTGTTTACTTATTTAGATTTTGTTAAAATTTATATAAATAATTAACATATGGAAATTTTTACAATGAAAATGTTGACAACATCATTACTAGTTGAAATTGGAAATTAATACAAAGAGAACAGAAGATAGAAAAGAAGTTTATAAAAGAAAAGAGTATTAGGTTGTTGTCAAATGTTCTTAACACAAGCGTTCTGTTTTAATAACAATTATCATACGATTATGAATTAACACAATTGAATTTTTTAATTTTATTTATAATTGATAAAGCCTTAGAATTTTTAAAATTATAAATGTTTTCTTCTCTTATATACATATTTATTTTAAAAATCATTATTATCTATTGGAAATTTTTAGAATACATTAATAAAATATAAAAGATTTTTATTACGCCAAATTTGTAAGAGAAAAACTTGCAATAATTTAAAAAGTATTGTATAGATTGTAAAATTATTAAAGAAATTTTGAAGACAAATAGAATTTTTGTCATTTAAATTAAGATATACATATTCATATAGTAATATTTATGTCAATTTATAAGATTTTCACTATATTGCAGTTTCTAATCTACATATCGGGTTCTACAGCCTATGTACATAATATATATTGTTAATTATGAATAGCAACAACTCGAACAATTGAAAATGAAATTAAACATAATATGTCAATAAGATTAAGTAAAAAATTATAAGTATTAAGAAATATTCATCGATGGAAATTTAACTTGAGAAATACAAATACTATAGACCTGATAAAGAAAACCAGAAAAATTGCTGGAATAATTAAATTATACTACAGCATGTTTTATTCAGCAGTATTATTCTTACAATATTTTAATTGGGGGAAACACATTGTTTAAACATAAGTATTACTACAATTTAAAATGAACAATAGGATACGGCAAAGAAATGAATTCAATACGGAAACCGAATACTACCATTTAATTTACCATACATGATAAACTTGCGCTTCAAGGACATTTAATAGTAAAGAACAACATAAATACAACTATCAAAACAAATTTTAGCAAAAACATTTGCTCATATATCACAAGAAATAAAACGATAACTCAATCGTCTAAAATAAGGTTTAATTAGGATGATACAGTGCATAACGTCGCCTACAAAATTTATATCGAATTACAGAAATTGAAAATTGTGATATGCTTAATTTATATAAAAAAATTCAACGAATATTTTATTAACAAAATATAATCTATCTTTGGATGATTTGAAGAAATTCATTTTATACATAATTGTATATGCGTTATTATCTCCAGATCAGGACATTCCATCAGCTTATTTTAATCCATAGTGTCTATGTACACATAATACTCATTATTTTTAATTAAATTTTAATTCTATTTAGTTAAACTAAAAATAATAAAATTAAGTGTTCCATATTCTTTAAAAATACATATATTATGTTGTATTTATAATTTAATTTATAATTTAAATTTTGATTTAAAATTAAAATGAATATACTTACTTTTTCAGTTATAATACGTCCAGTTAAAGCTATTATTTTACATATCATATGATATGAATCAAATTGTAATGTTAAAGAATGTGTTATGTGACTTAAAATTAATTGCAATATTAAATAAATTATTGATAATAATTCAATTATATATAATTGAATCGGTTGCTCATGTAAATATTCTTTAATAGGCATTATTAAATTTATTTGTAATTTGTCCAATGCGCGGGAATTATAAAAAAAAATATTTTGTTTCCTCAATTTTGTTATTAAACCGTATCTTAATATTATTGTAGGTTTATAATACAATAACTTTGAATTAAATATGTATATAGTTTTATTTATAGAAGTATTTACATAATATATATTGTTTAATTAAAACAAATAATAAAGTAAAATATGGGAAAAATGAATTTTACACCGGCGCGGTATTTTATCATAAAATTTGAATCATTCAGTTAAAAAATTCGCATAACGCGATCAAAGGTTACTTTATTTTTTTTTTGTTGTTTTTGTTTTAATATTTCGTTTGTTTTGATTATGTTTTGTTAATGTTTTCGATATTTTTTTGCATTTTTCTTACAATTTTAGACTTATTTAATAGAATCTACTGCCAGTCACTTGCATATTTTGTTACTTTTATTTTTTCTATTAAATTGTTAATTTAAGTCTTACAATAATTATTTCGGAACAAACAAAATTAATGAAGATCTTCTTTTTACAATTTGATTCGCATTTGATTTAAATAATTTTGAAAAACGAGTGAAGAAATCTGAAAAGAAAAAAAGAAATAAATTTAGAAGGTGAAAAATTTATTTATAGCTATTTTATAATGAAATTTTATGAGAATTTTATTTAAATATTTGAAAGATAATTGGAACATTAACCAAATAATAATTGGGTTACTTATAATAGAATTTATATACAAATTTTACAGTTTTAATGTCTTAATAATGACGACAAATTGTTATATAGATTACGCGGATTCTTCTATAATGAAATTAATAAAAATTTAGCAGGAAAAAATTTTAAATCCAAAAAAAAAATTTTAATAACAAATGTGTACTATTTGATATATAAAAGCTTTTAAATGGATTGACACAAAATTATTGCAGATAATTTTGATTTTGAAGAATTAAAAGAAAAAAATTTTTACAATATATAGCCTTATTATGATCGTCGAATCGAATTGCTAAGCGAGTCAAATGGACTAGATGAATCGAATGATATTGTAAATTATGATCGGCGAATGCTTTCATTCGCCAGATCCAAAACATCATCAGAAAACAGAAACACATAAAAAAACAATTGAATTTTTCTATCCTTTGGCAATTATGGGGTTGCTGCCCATTAATTTATTTAAATGCTTGAATTGTTTTTGGTTTATTTTTTCCACGCTTTTATTAATATTAAACAATCAATATTTTTTATAATAATTTGTAGAATTTTATGAACTTATTTTACAGATAGTTTAGATTTTTTCATTATATCAATATAAATGCTATAATATCCCATAAAAAAAATACTTAACGTATCTATTAATTTGATTTTTGCTTTCATTTGACAAGCTTGTCACACAGAATTTTCATTCGACAGATTTGACCGCTCATTCGCCTAAATTTTTGGCGAATTCGCTAATCATAATACCAAAAATTCATATTCGTCAAAAATTTCATTCGCTTCGCCGATCATAATAACAGCCATAATGTAATTTTAAGTATATGTAGTAATAAAATTATACGGTATGCCGGTTTGTAGTTTGAAATACATGTGTAATATTTAAAAATTGTTAAATGTAACTATTGTCATTTTAATCTTAAGTGCTATGCATATAATTGCTTAATTTTCTTATGCAGCATTATACACAGATTAAAAATTTTTATTGAATTAAGAACAAATTTGTCATAATGGAAATAATAAAATGTAAATTAAGTATTGCAGTGATTTTGTATCTTACCCTATTTGAAATATAAGTACATTTTTTCTGTTTTAATTTATTAGAAATTTGCTCTAGTTTAATTTGAAATATAATACATGTATGTATACATACATGTACTACAAATAAAATAAAATTCTATTGTTTGCATTTTGGATGATAACCATAAAGAAATTGTTTTATTATTTTGAGTGCACTTTGTGTATACATATAGTTGTTGTACATAGATAGGTGGATTGGTATCATTAGCAAGTTGTATAATACTTATAAGTATAATTAAATAATCCCCGATTTTATCATAAATTATAATTACAACATGTTGGAAAAAAGTTTATTTACTGCACTTACTATAAAACTATAAAATTTAGCTTTACCACATGTGTAATTACAAAATATGATTTACAATATTAAAAGAATAATATTTATTTCCTGACCTTTAAATATAATATATGGGTACTTCTTGAAAAAATACTTTGTACGTGTATTTTAAAAGGTTATTGAACTTAAGAATTAAATATTATTATTAATTAATTGTAAAGCTTAAAGATAAGATTACTATTTAACTATCATAAAATATTGAAATAATGAATTTTATTAAATAAAAAAATAAATAAAAAAGATTCCTGGTAAATCACAATATAATTACGGGAATAGAATATAAATAATTTGACTCAAACCTAAAAAATTGATTACAATTTACTAAAATTAATGAAATGAAAATCAACAAAGTCACAGCTAATATTGAAGTTTAACAGGACCGCCACTTTTCAACTTGCGTATATATACAGCTTACAATCAACAAGAAATGATGTTGTTATATTTCTATATGCTGATGAAATTTGTTTAGATTTTTGAACTGATAAAGGGATCTATTAGCTCAATAATATCTCGGAATGGATGTCAAGGTATAAACTTATAACAAATATTAAAAAAATAGATATATATTTGATAATTGTTTTTTATACTCTAAATTCAATTAAATAATCAAGTACTGGAACAAATTAAGAAATATGCACACTTCAGTTTGCGGGTTGATGAACAACATACGTGGAATGTGCGCACATACCTAAATTAATGTTCCTAAAAATCTTTCAATGTTGTGGAATTCAACAATCAATGAATCAAATAACATGGTATATATTTTGCATACAAATTTTAACATTCAAATATGTACCTGTAATTATTATGTGTTTGATAGCTCAGTTTAGCTTTGTTTCAATATTTAAATTTGTGCTCCTTAAAGCACTATTTAATTTAGTAATTTAACTGAACTAAAAAGTATTTAACTCATTTTTAAATTAGTAATTGTAATGTAAATGATTTACTCGCATTTTCAACAATTTTTAAATTCCGTATGTTCATAAATTATGTACTCCTCCCGAATGAACGTCAACACTTAAATTAATTAAAAAATTGGCTATAATGACTATTTAGATCTAATGAAATCATTATGTTAATTATTTTTTTTGTATATAATATAAGCATTTACTTTCGTTTTTAATTTGGTTTTAAAAATTGCTTAAATTTTTTATTTTATCTTATCAAAATTAGAATTACCTTACTATTTTAAAAGTGTGTTCTACGTAGTTTACTAATTGTAATTAATTTATTGTAATGTAATAGAATTTGTAATGTATGAATTTGTGATTGTATTTGTATTTACTTTGAATTAATAATATGATTAATTTTTAGTTCTTTTATCACTTTTACAATTGGTTTTACTAATATTTCTAATTTATTTTCGAAAATTTTAGGTTAGGACAGTTTAACAGATGCAATGCAATTAATTTTCGGGTATCGCTTCTATTTTAAAATTTTATTCCTTTTAAAAAATTATAATAATTTTGCTTACAGTAATTTTATATAATAGTTTCTTAAAATAATCTTGTTACTTAATCTTTTTATCTTTTTTCCAAAATATCTTGTTCTTTTCTTGTTCTTTTTTAAGCGTTTATTTATCACTAAAATTTCTTATTTCAAGTTCATTTAAATTTGATGTATTTTTATAACCTAGATACAACCGCGGAAATTAAATTCTAATGTTAATCTGAGGACATTAATATTTGGTAGCATGTATATAAATCATTTAAATCACCAAATATGCACATCTTTTATTACCCTTGTAGAATGTAGACAATAAATGAGATATTTTTGTTAAATTTATTTGAAATTTATTTTCATTTTAAAATAATGGTAATGCAAACAATGTATATATGTATGTAAAAATATTTTTAATTTTTATTTATTTAGTCTAATATTTATTATTTATGTGTTTCCTTTTTTGCTTTAGTTTATTTAACAAAAAGTATACAATTTTAGTGGTAAGGCTATTGAAATGAAAAATGTATAAAATTTATTTATTATCACAACACTATTTAAATATATTATTTAATTATATTTAATTAATATTAAAACTATAGTAATCTTAGATAGTGGTACTATATATAAATAGCAGGGCATTTTAAATAAATTATTAAATTAAGATTAGAAAATGAAATTTTAATTTTTATTTATTATATAAATATATTTAAAAATCATATTGCCCTAGAGTATAAAGAATAGAGTAATGTTCTATTAGAAGGTCTTATTTTTGAGATGTTTTTAACAGAGATAAAAATTAATTGTGACTGACGATTGTAATTGGAATATGCCCACATACTAAATGCGATAAAGTACTTAATATAAATGCATATGATAAATGTCATTAAGTATGGCATAGTAAAAATAAGAAAATTGAATTTAACTAAAATTAAATAGAACTGATAAAAAATTTTACTATTTAGTTCATAATTCTATCAGTTAAGAGTTTCTTTTAAGGTGTTTTATACAGTTATATAAGAGTTTTTATTAATTATATTATACTTTTATCTATTTATACCTATACCAATTTATTTTCCATTTCTTTATTATACAGTTAATTCTAAAATTACATATTAAATTTTGGTGAAATGGACTATTTGATAAAATTTTCAGCACGCCGTTTTAGGGCATATAACACTTTTAACATAATATGTATAACAGTCCAAATGTAGTAATGCCCTCAATTAAATCAACTTATGAATTGAAGTAGCTGAGATCCACAGTTGTAGCCACATTTTTTTCGGCAGGTGGCTTTTGATTTTTATATACATTGACAAAATTATTTTACAAAAACAGTGTTTCATATAATATTATATTAACAAAATACTCTCAATTAGTCCGGAGTGTTATATATAGAAATATCCTCAATTGGAACACAAACAATGTGAATAAATTATTCAATTGAAACACTTTAATCTACTCATGATTCTGGACTCCAGAGTAATTAAGAGTAAAATTAGTATCACAGTTTTGGTTGAAAATTGTATTATACAGGAATAAAAAGTAACTCATAAATTTAGTAAGCGCCAGTGTATATATACTTATAAAATAACTTATTACAGTACTTATAAAATAATTTATTTGAAAGCCACCTATTAGAAATTCTTCAAATAGTTATGTTTATTCAAAATATAATACTCTAGAAAGTTATGCCATCTAGAGGAATAAAATTTTACATTAACTATTACTTTTAAATTAAACTATTTTAAATACAAATTTACTTATTTTCTATTTTTATTTATCAAACAATATTCTAATATATTTGTATTACTAACCAATGTTGTTGATGTTAAATAATAGTAGTTCAAAAATTTGGATTAAAATGTAAATATTTTTTTCGCCATAATTATTAATTTTATGTGATCCATCTATAATCAAAAATAAACATAGATGCGTAGGTGAATTGTTTCCGCTTTAAAATTTTGTTTCAAATATTTGGATTAAATTATGAATAAATATATACTTTGTATATTTAA